GTCTAGCCTTAGCCTGCTGATGGCTCTGGTGGCAAGCAGGGTATTCCAAGTCGCTGGCCTTCGGACAATGTTCTGCAGCGTCAGTCTGGGCATTCTAGAGGGGAAAGCGTTGTTAATGCACGGTGCCGTAGAAGGGATCAGAGCCCTCCTCGTTTTCTCAAGGCAAATGTCTTTCAGAGCGTCCTTTACATAGTTTTTGTAGGCGCGCAGCCCCAACGACATGTTTCCTTCGTTGAAATCTCGGATACCCCAGTCTTGGAGCAGCTTCAAGCTCCGTGCAGCCCAAGAAGCAGGTGATTTGGAAGCCTCACAGAACATCTGGCGGTACCAGTCTTGCCGCGGCCATGACTGGATGCGGGCCCGACGAGAGGCAACATCCAGCACAGCGCGGGCAAAACCTGACAACTGCCAGCCAAGTTCCCACGAAGCAAGGTGCGCTGGCTTCCAAGGTGGAACACCTAGCAGCGTGCGCGCCCACTTGTCCTGCGCGGTATTCAACTCGGACTCCGCATTCGGGGCCATGACAGCGAAGAGCCACCTCCCAACTCTAAGAGTCCCGTCTACCTTACTTTCGAAAAGTGCAGCTGCGAACGGTACAGGAAGAGCAGCCTCAATGCACAGGCCAGCTAAAACACACAGTTGCGAAGACGCAGCACGAAGGCGAGCATGTAGGGATTCGGTGGCGCCACCGTCGGTAGACCACAACCAGCCCAGCCATTTATGCTCTGAGGCACAAAGGCAAAGACGCACAGGGGCGGAACGGGGCCTAGGGCGAAACCAAATAGGGCAAATTTCACCATAGCCTCCCACACGAAAAAGTACAGTCTTTGAAGCTCCCACATGGAAGCAAGCCCCGTGCAGGGGGGCCCATTTTTCAATGATCAATAATGTCCTTGCCAACTCACCCCAAGATGATGCGAGAATCACAGGGTCGTCGGCGTGCAATAAAATGGCAAGTTTGTGTGTTGATAGAATGTCCAAGGCCCTAGCCGCCGAGGCCTCTAAATCTGGTCGATGGAGTAGCTCGGAGCTCGGCGGTAGCCGTGCATCTGTCTGCAGAGCTTTTACCATTCTGTCCGTCCAGTTTGCCTGGGGTGTGCCCTGGCCACTCCAGGGATGGTTGGCCCAAGCGGCTGGTACTTTAGAAGACAACGCCAAGCCACAGGAATGCTCGAGCAGGACCTTTGCGAGAGAGTCGGGAAGTAGGGTATAGAGTATTGGTCCTAAAACGCCACCTTCAGGAAGGCCTTGGCGGACGGGCACAACAGAACATCCAGAGAGGAGTACAGAGACCATGTCAAGGTCCAAGATATCCCCCAGCAAATGGAGAACACCTCCTGAAACGCCTGGGCATTTTGCGGCCATGGACAAAACATCTTCGCGCCAAACAGATGGAAAAGCTTTCTCAAAATCACCCATAACAGCGTAAAAACACCTGTTTTGATGTACTGTGACTTGCGCCAAATCATGCAAGACAAGCAAGGGGTCATCGACACCCCGCATGTAGCCTGATTGGCCATTTTGTAAAGAGCCCCACACAGCCGGTCTGAGACGGATAGCCAAGATACCTTCTTGTAACAGACCCATTTGGGACTTGATGAAGAGGAGCCTCCAGGATGAAAAATCGTGCACAGCACCTTTTTTATACGTAGTCCCGAGACTTGCCCATCTCCACAGAGAGGGTCTCAAGGCCCAGCGGCTTGGCCCTGCCAACTGGCAAAGCAACCACGCCAGCGTCCTCCATGCCGAATGGGCGCAGGAGAAGGCAGCGCGTGGAAGCAAGTCTGGGGGCAGCGCAGAAGAAAACTTCCAGCTGGCAATGACAGCATATACCTCAGGTTCACAAATATCGCTGTCCAGCGTGCCGCGGCCACGGTTTGACCATGCTCTACCAAGCAAGGAAGCGACCTGGCTGCGCATTTTGGCATACATGTCCTCGGATGGCAGACTTGGTCCAGAGCACTGGTCCTGAAGTTTCTTGCACCACTCGCGCTGAATTGCAGCTGTGGGCAAAAACTGTCCATCTTTCTGCATGCACGGAGGTAGTATAGTCTTTGGTTTGCGCAACAGCTTGAAGCACTTCTGTGTAGCAGTAACAGGAAGATCGCTAGACAGCAAAAAGCCTTTCAAAGCATCACGGACGTTGGGGGTGCACATGTCGTCGTAGTAGTAGTAGTAGTAGTAGTATGTAGTAGTATGTAGTAGTATGTAGTAGTATGTATATTATGTAGTAGTCTGTAGTAGTCTGTAGTAGTCTGTAGTGGTCTGTAGTAGTTTGTAGTAGTCTGTAGTAGTATGTAGTAGTATGTAGTAGTATGTATTAGTATGTAGTAGTATGTAGTAGTAGGTCGTAGTAGGTCGTAGTAGGTAGTAGTCTGTAGTAGTCTGTAGTAGTCTGTAGTAGTATGTAGTAGTATGTAGTAGTATGTAGTAGTATGTAGTAGAATGTAGTAGTATGTAGTAGTATGTAGTAGTAGTAGTAGTAGTAGTAGTAGTAGTAGTCGTCGTCGTCGTCGTCGTAGTAGTAGTAGTAGTAGCGATCCTGCCACGGGCTCGCGACACGGAGTGATGTCTGCCTCAAGGGCACGGGACCGAAGCTGGAGCACGATTGTGACTATAACTCACTGCACACGCGACGTAGGCGATAGCGCGACGGATCATGCGGGTAGTCAAGCGCACGCTTACTGGGCAAAGGATGTTGACTCAAGCTGGCCTCACTTCAACGTTGGAACCCCATCGTGCTCCCACACGGTTTGGAGTTTTGTAGTAGTTAGCTTGGGTTTCTCACAATTGACGTCAGACCTTGCACTCTCTTGCTTGCACCGGAGCCGCGATGCGTGTGCGGCCTGCTCATGTTCAAGCTTGTTTCAATGCGTCAGCCGCGGCCAAAGATTGCAGGGGGAAGAGCGCAGTAAACCGTTTCAAAAAGCAATGGCCGCAATCTTCACGAGGAGTTGACTGGTCAGAACCCACGAATTGCAAGTAGACGAGTTTTTGGATTTTCGAGTGCATGGGTTCCTCTTCAGCACTTCATTCATGCTGGAGTTGGGTCAGATGCCTGAACCCTAAACCCTAAACATCCATACACGCTACTGTAGCCCTAAACCCTAAGCATCCCTAAACCCTGCGAGGCCGGAGACAGCTGCGCCCGCAGCGAAAGCCGTTAAGGTCGATAAGTTGCAGCGTGGGGCGAGGTCCAAGCTTCGCAAGCCGCTTCCCTGGATCCTTACTGCAGGGGAATCCTACGATTTGGGGGTCCCTTAGTTTTTTTTGGTAAATTTCATACGTCAGACGGGTAGTTCTACATTAGGGTCCCTTTTCTTGGCTCCCCGATATGGTACGGCACCTTACAAAAAGGACCCCAGCCTTATAAAACGGACCCCAAAAAGGGACCATAGTTTAGTGATGAGAAGATATCCCAGTGCTAACGCGTTGCTCAGGCTGCATCCCAGTGCTCGATATTGCCATGTCGACAGACGAGCTCTGCATCCCAGATGCTGCAGCAGTTGAAGTTGATGCATGCCGAATTCTTTAGTGTTACTGTTGCTTGCTAGCTGGATGAGGTCGGTAGCAGAGTCCTTGCGTAAGGTGATGGGCTGGGGATCCTCCAGCACCCACAAGTCCAAGATCGAAGCAGGTGTTTACTCTCAAACCCGAGGCCTGAGCAGATCAGAAGCGCCAGTTTTGTGAGCTTCTGGTGTATGACCCCTAAACCGCCTAAACAGTTTTGTGAGCTTCTGGTGTATGACCCTAAACCGCCTAAACCCCTAAACCCCTAAACATCTAAACCCCTAAACCCCTAAACCCCTAAACCCCTAAACCCCTAAACCCCTAAACCCCTAAATCCCTACACCCCTACACCCCTACACCCCTAAACCCCTAAACCCCTAAACCCCTAAACCCCTAAACCCCTACACCCCTACACCCCTACACCCCTAAACCCTAAACCCTAAAACCCTAAAACCCAAAACCCCACATTGCGACAGGCCACTATCCAGAGGCACAGCTAGCCAGCGCAATGCGGACGTGCGGACCTGAGCACCTGAAGCGGAACACTTGCTTTCAGTAGGCGATGAAGGCATCACATACCTTCTATCCCACCGTGTGTGTACCCTTTAAGGGGTTAGATGGGGTACACCGGTACACCTTATATCCCCCCCTTGTGTAGCCCTTTAAGAGCATATATGAGGTAGCGAATTCCCCAATTCCCTAATTCCTAAGAACCAGCTGTAAGATGCTTCAATGCTACAGAACGGCACCCTGCTCACCGAGGCCCCCCCTACCCAAAGATGGAAGGATTGAGCTGCAAAGCCGCGCACCAAATTGGCCTCAAATGATAGCTAATACTATCCATGACAATGTTGGCAAGGTTGTGGTTGTAGTCATGTTTCGTTATTGATGTGGTTCTTGGTGTGGCTGTCGTTGCTGTTGTTGCTGGCTTTTGCTGGCTTTTGCTGGTTTTTGGCTGTTGCTGCTATTGCGGCTATTGCTGTTGTTGCTGTTGCTGCTGTTGCTGCTGTTGCTGCTGTTGCTGCTGTTGCTGCTGTTGCTGCTGTTGCCGTTGTTTGTTGCTGTTGTTGCTGTTGGTCTCTGTTGCGGTGGTCTCCACATGCAGGTCGCTGCCTGGCAGCTGTGGACGATAATGACAAGGTGCCCTTTGTTTTGCAAGCTGCCCTTGTTGTCAGCATAAGGCACTTCTAATACTTTCTACGTGCATCTTTTCGGGTTACAGGAGCTCGACAGCAATTGTGCTTGCACACGTTCATGCTGCATGGCAGCTCCATGCGTTCGTTGTCACAGAAAGAATAACCTTACAAGGCACCAAGACAACTTTGCAACTCACAAAAGAACCACAATGCCACAGCAAAATCAAACACGGTCGTCACAACGCTTCTTGCTTTTGGAGCACTGGATGCAGAAGCTCTGATCATCAAGGCCGGGAAAGCTGAATCTCATTGCTTCAATAATTATGCTAAACACAATCCACCCCGGGCTAAAGGATGTCGGCGAGGGAAGTGGAACTGGAGGCTGGCGGCAGGATGTGGCGTTTTGCAAATCATGATGCATCACTCGCCCTGCCCAAGGTTGCGCCCGACACCTATGGGTTCAGTCACGGCAGCTCCTGGCCAAGCACTGGCAAGTCAAAACGCTCCCGTGACTCTACACAATGAAGATCTCAGAAACACAGCCCTCTGCAAGGTTCTGGCTTGAGGAACCGTCACCAAGCTGTTCCCAACGGTAGTGCGGCCAGGACCTTTGTGCTCCCCTATCACCAGGCAGTATTCAGGTAGTCGATCATCTGATGATTTCACAAAGTACGCCGGGTACGTCAGCTTCCACTTGGAAATGTGATCAGCTTTTCAGCATCCCGGCTGCTGTCAACATCAACCTTCCCTTCTCCGCATGAGGGGAATGCATGCACACCCGGATACCCCCCCAGCCAGTTTCAACATATGTCGCACGGGCTCAGATCGACGAAGCCACTGGGTACCCGCGAGTGCTCCAGGAGGCCATCAGGGTCGATCCCGGTCCACTGTAGGTTCTGCTATCTGCGCCCTGATTCTCAGGCCTCGTCACTGCAAGAGCGCAGACAAAGCCAGCCCCTCAGGTCACTCCTACCAGGATGGGCTACTGTACCCCTAGAACCCCCCAAAAGAGGCCCTTTAGAGGGTTGGCATTAGACCCTAGAACCCCCCCCACAAAAAGGCCGTTACAAGGGTTGGTTATGGGGATCATAGGCCCTAATCGCCCATCCTGGGAATCCTCCCGTATTGAGCAAACAGCACTTGCGGCAGGCTTCATTCTTATCCTCATCTCCGGGATAGATGTCATTAGCAAGAGCCTCAGGAAGTCAAGGCTGTTATCTGCCGTGGGTGTAGGGGTTTAGGGGTTGAGGGGAAAAGTGCTGTAGGTTTAGGGTTTATAGGTTTTGGGGTTTTAGGGATTTAGGGTTTAGGGTGTAGGGTTTAGTGGTTGAGACAAAGCGTGACTGCAGGCAGCGCGGTCATGATGGGCGTGGCCTTCAAGTTTGCCTACCGAGCCGTCGGGGCATCGCTGTACTGCCTGGGCATCCAGGCACCTTGGTACCGAGTTCCCCAAAGCATGCCTAGATTTAGGGGCTAAAGTGACCAAAGGAGGGACCCTTATAAGGGACCTTACAAAATATTTAGGGGTCATTTAGACGCTACTAGGGCCCCTCCTTCTACCCCTTAATCTACGAAAACACAGCAAGACCGTCAGTATGTGCTATGCCAAAGCTTAGCATGCTCTCTGGTGCTGGAGAGCTTGCTCAGCAGGCAATCTCACACATGCTGTCTTCCATCATTCTGATCGCACGTTTGGTGGGAGAACTTGGCGTGCCCGGTCCACAGCTCGCAAAGACACTTCTCAGTCTGCCAAGGCTTGACAAAGCCTTCCCAACTTGCCCAAAGCATGCAGACCCCCTGCAGCCCAGGCCCCAAGATGCAGAAGAATCATTGCTCAGGCCGGTTGCGGATGATGATGGTAAAACGTTGTCTGTGGTGCATTGCATGGAGTAACGATTGCTCAACGCTGCGGGACACTTGAGGGAGAAGCGACGACGCTTCTTGTACCGAGAGCAGGGTCTCAACGTGGCTTCCAAGCTCAGAACAAGTCAGTCACATGTCTTGAGCAATGGTGACACTGCGACACTTGCAAGAAAGACTTCGTTGCGGACGTTGAGGTTATGGGCCTTTCCATGTTAGTTGCAGCAGCAGCTCTCGTGTTCAAGGAGCGGTCAACTGGTTTCGCGCATTCACATTTGTAGATGGCATTCGCTGAGATTCGGAGCAGCATGGAACCTTTCATCCATGCAGGCAGCCAGGAAGATCAAATTCTGGAACAAGCTCTTTCCCTAGCACTGCTACCGATATTTGCTCATCAAGCATGTAGCAATCGGTTCTGATGTCTCAGGTGGTATACAGACCACCAGCACATGGATTCAGAGGCAGGGCGGTGGTCAACTCTGTCAACCGTTTTTTGAACTATTGGTGTTCCAAACACGGCTGGTGCGCCAGGCTCAGTGGGCCACCGAATTCCTTGCGTGGTATGGCTTTGCCTTTTACTTTCTTCAGGCCCTGCTTTGGCTTCCATGGTAACCAGGGTATTCAAACCCTAAACCAGCAACCTAAGGCTCCACGAATCACTTGAGCAACCCTAAACCCTAAACCCTAAACCCTATTGGAATCACGCAAGCTGTAGGCGCTTGCCCGCTTCTTCCTCGGGCGAAAGTTGCGAAGGAATATTGCCGGGCACCTATAGGGACACCTGGGTCCAGTTTTCTGACTCCAAAAAGGGAATATGCTTAGTGCATTGCGGACTCTGCATGGATATCTTTATTGCTCGGGATGCTCTACAACTTGAGCCCGGAGCTCGCGGTGCGCCGGTTGACCCCGGTAACATTTTACATTTTTAAGGGTACTTAAACCCAATAAGGAATATAATTTTAAAATTTTTATACTATCCCAACCATGAACTAGTTTTCTACTCATTTTGCACGGTCACTCGTAGGGGGGAAAGTCGCGAGGTTTGGAGCGCGCTCGTGAACTCCATCATCAGCCTGATCTTTCTCTTGGCAGCTGCCCCAAGCTTGCGTCTCTTCTTTGGCAGAGTTTTCGCGTCTTTCGTGAAAGCATAGTCCCTACCTAAACTTTATACATTCTACAGTTCTCTCACCCTCGTGAGGTGATGGGACTGGCAGCAAGCTACGAGAAGGAAGGGACGTGGAAGGTCACGGCTGTCCAGCAGATTCTAAGTCGCTTTAAGGGCACCGACATGTTGTGCGATGCTGTCCTTGTCGTGGTCTTAAGCATATCAGGCAGAGCCTATCTGCGCAATCGTTCTGGCGGTTGCCGGCAGCTGAGAACTGGCAATTGCTGATCGCCGCAGCACCTGCTTGCATCTATCTTTTAGACTCCACCGGTTACATGGGTTCTCTGGCAGCTATCAGAATGCCTTGCAGTCATGCCACGAGAGGAGCCCCCTAGTTCCCTCCATTTCTGTCAGGTCAGCTTGGTTGAGGGCATCAGGATCGTCATTTCAAACATGGATGCGTGCAGCTGAGAAGGCTGATCGCATGTCATCAGCCGATGTGCACAAAGGGGTGCTCCACGTCATCATGCGAGCGTCAGCGCATCAAGATTGGAGATCACTTCTTATCCCTAGCAGCTATCCGTTCGGCCACTTCCGCTGCTTTCTTCCTACCCTTGAGGGCACTGCTCATTACGGGTGGTGGTGGTTGGTTTGGTGCCTTCTCCAGCAAATGTCACGCTTCCAGACATGCAGACAGCTGTGAAGCTTGCAGTTACCCGCGGCGCGAGTCTTGCCAGTCTGCCTAACTGAATCAACAGCCTCACTTGCTAGTGGACCTTAATTTTCAAGAACTGCACTGCATACATAGGTCCCAGCTCTATTGAAAACCCAAGTACCAAGAGCCCCCCCAAGCGCTGAGGATATGGACACTCGCATGCGCCATGATGCCCGGGCATAGCTTCTAGGCTGCCTCAGAGATTCCAACATGACCTTCGAGAGTGCCAGCCTTGTGCAGTCGCAAGTGTAGCTCCTAGTACTTCCTAGTTATTCATGACAGAGCTGGTGTATGGTTTGATCATGTTTGATCTCAACAATGCCCAGTTTGGGCACGTAGGGCTAGAGCAGGACGGCACGACAGAAGCAACATCTAGATGAAAGAAAGCGGGGTAACAGTATAGATAGTTGTTGCAAATGCAACATGTAGAATCCAAGATGCATGAAGTTCAGCACGGGCTCGCAGACGTTCGAGCTGCAGAGCTGCGTTTGCTTGGACACTGGACGCCTCAAGCGACTGCCACATGTCTCGGTTGAAACGACTCAGACATGTCGCGCTGCAGTGTCGACAGTTGCATGCGTCAAGAAAGGTCGCTCAGTTCGCCACGCATGCGGCAGTTCGGATTCCAAACGTAAAGGTTGCGCATGTCGGCCGACTGTAAAAGGGGCCAAGGCTAAACGATGCTAAACCTGTGTGTCTCGGGAGGTAATCTTCCAGGCCAAGCTTTGTGGCAGTCACCTGAGTCGAGCAGCAGAAAGTCGCCAGGCGTCCTGAGATGTCGGAAAAGCAGTGGCATGATGTGGTATGAGGTCCAGACAGCCTTGTACAGAACTGGGAGGTCGCACCGATTGCTTGTCCATGACATGTGGCATCATGCGTAAGGAAATCCTGCGTCCCTGAGCAGGCTACATGCCGCCGATACGAGACTTCCCTACAAAACCGCCAGAAGTCAGACAAGCAGGTGCGTCGAAGAGGTCGATGTTGAGCCGAAACCCTAAACTTTAGGACAAGTTTCTTAGCCTCTCGAGTCCTTGCAGGTGCCGTATCCTGTCTTCATCCCTTCGCGCGGTCGACCACGGAAGGCAGCTCCCAAACCAGTGTACGGGCACGGGCGCTTGCTGGTTTAGCGATGAGGGTTTGAAGGTTCTTGAACCCCAGAAAGCTTCGCCAAACCGAAGCCCCACGGATCCCAGCCACGGAAGCTTCGAACCTGAAACCCGAACATTGCTGAAGACCTGAAGCCCTAGCTCCCTAAACCCTCAACCCCTGAGAGGGTCAAGGCTCCATTCCAAGACCGGGATAGCCTTGGGGGGGGGGGGGGGGGGGCAGGGCGGTTCTGCGGAAGGAGGAACTGTTTAATGGAGTATATCATAGAGTGGCTGTTCAGAATCAGGGGGGCCTTGGGATGAAGGGCAGAGGATTGCAGCATGGGCATCAAGTTTCAGCGATGTCGCGAGGCGCATCTCAATTGGGAAGCGCCTCATGTCTTTGGCAGCCAGGCCAGAAGAGCTGCCCTGGTTTTTGGTATGGATCGCTTGGGTGCAGGGTTCAGGGTTTAGGGGGGTCATAGGCCATGGTCTGATCTTGCACCAGGAGGACAAAGAATTAGGCCTCCGGCCCACAGTCTGCGTCGTGGTCGAGCCTGAAGAAGAGGATGAAGTGCGATTCTTGCATGAGGGATGCCGCTGTTGCTGCAAATGGCATACGATCGTAGACGATTGTGCACAATCACAGTTGCAAAGACCCTGCGCAAGCAACCTTCTCACGCGCGTCTGCAACGTTTTCAACTCAAGGCAGGTTTGCGTACGCAGACAAAGAAGTGATGTGATCTCAGTGAAATGCATGCAGTCGCGCTTCAATGGTCTGCAAAGAGTGTTGCCGGAAGTGTCCGAAGCTGACCTTCGATGCTCCTGGTATCTCCTGGTAGTTGCAACCATGGTTATATCGTTGCTGCGGATGTTTTCATCACTACAGTCTGCGCAGAACTTGTCATTGTTGTTTGGGCAAAAAGATGTGGGACAGCAACGTGAGAAATTCACAGCACACTCTACCCTTCGCGCACTTCGACCCAGAAGACGCGCTGCTACTGGCATCAGCAGTTCGAGAAGCGTACTGTGTCGGATGCCAGGCGAAGTTGGAGGATTCTCGAAATACCATCGGGAGGGATGGGCTACCTACCGCATTGTAGGTTGCAAGGACAGCGCAGTTCTCAGAAGTGCCGATTGGAAAATCTGGTCTACTGCCTTGGCCCATCCTACAGGCCTGTCAACATGCGGTGAGCATTTCAGCGGCTTCTCTTTTGGAAGGTTTTTCTACGGGGCGGCGAACCGTGACATTCTTACACATTCTTCCTCCAGTTGTCTGGGCTGGCAGACTGCTATCCTGGTGCATCCTTGAAGACGTTCATAAAAATCAGGGGCGTTCTTGGCGTGGTTTCATCATACCACGCCAGTTTATGCCAGTTTATTCCTCGAAGACCCCGTATGTCATTGTGTATTGGTGCCTGTTGCGCGGTCAGCCACCGGGAACTTTTGCTGAGCTGGGATCTCTTCAGAAACATGTGGCAGCGCATGTCCGCCCGCAGGAGCCCACAACATCAATCGTGTATGCTGCTCGAGTGCCCAATTGGGCGCATGTGGGCAAGGTCCTGAAGATTACCCACATTTGCATCATCAGGCATAGGCGTCCCGAGCCCCAGATGACAGCTTTGAGCTTGAGTGGGTGCCGGTGTTACCTACGCTGACAAGTGGGCGGCATGGGCCCAGAAGATATGCTGACTCCTCGTTGTAAGGATCTCGCTGCAAGCCATTCGCAAGAAGTATCGACAAGCAGCCTTGGCCGGGACTTGTTTTATTCCGACTTCCTGGATCCTGTGAAGGATGCGATTCACAAAAGCACCCAGTCCAGCTTGCGTGCCATGTTGAAAGGATCTCGCTGCAAGCCATTCGCCAGAAGTAACGACAAGCAGCCTTGGCAAGCTTGGGCCGGGACTTGTGTTATCCCGACTTCCTAGATCCTGTGAAGGATGCCATTCACAAAAGCACCCAGTCCAGCTTGCGTGCCATGTTGAAAGGCTCTCGCTGCAAACCATTCGCAAGAAGTAACGACAAGCAGCCTTGGCAAGCTTGGGCCGGGACTTGTGTTATCCCGACTTCCTGGATCCTGTGAGGATGCTATTCACAGAAGCACCCAGTCCAGCTTGCGTGGTCCTTGCTCCATCAGGAAGCTCTCGGCAGTGGAGTGTTGACTTCCGACGACGGCCAGCGGAAGTTTCGAGACCTGGACATCGTCATGCGGCATGAGCTTTTGTGCACAGCCTTTGCCTTCCTTGGTGCGAAAGGCTAGCTGAAAAGCAGGCGTAGCGCAGAGCCTTGAAACCTTGTCTGGGTTGTGTTGTTGGAGAATTGTCAATTTCTCTTCCTTCCTTAGAAGGGAGCCTTCTCATCATTATTTTTCAAAATGTTCAAAGCACAACTCAATTGTTGTTTCTTGCAGCTGGAACAAGTGGCAGTCGAGTCGGGCATGCGCATGACATTGCCTCCTTGCCCACGAAACCAAGCGCCAGTCGTGCTACGTCGATGTCGCATTGTTGCAACGTGTCACGAGTACTGTACACCCAATGGTCTTCCCTCAGGCAGCAGCCCAAATGTTGTTCAACCCCGAATTGCAAACGCTAGAAGCCTCCAAGCTTCTAAGCACAATACGGTTCCAATTCCGAACTCTGAGGAGGACTACCGGACAGCTTGGCCGTCTGCTTTGATGCTCGTCCTTCCAGACGGCCTGCTCTTCAGATTGATGGTCCTTCGCAGAAGGATGCCAGAGGATAGTGTGGGCACCGAGCCAAATACCGAGCCAAGGCAATCGCGGACCAGGTTATGCTCGTTGGGTGCAAACCTTGTCCTCCATGAAGCATGCCGCTGACGTTATTCCATGTCATCTTGCTGCACAGCCTGATTATTCACGTGTGTCATCACAGCTGCACCGAATGAGGTTGTCCAGAGGGTATGTACTCGAGCTCACGTGATGGATGGTCCGCGGCGCAAGTTTCAGCAATGGCCGTAGGGTGGAGACGTGTGGCAACTCCCCCCGGTTCAGGGCGTCCCATGACGGCCGGCACGCTCCACCGCCTAGGGAGGCATTCGCATTGGACATGGAGCATCATTGTAATCATAAATTTCTGCTTGCGTGTGAGGATTTGGATTGTGGATGACACAGTCACCACCTTCTACAGGCCACGGCTAATAGTCCTGACTGCTAGGTCACCTTTCGCAATAGATTCAATTGACATGATGCATGACTAGACCATGCTTGGCCCAAAGCCCTCCAGCACTTAAGCCAAATGAGCCCGCTCGAAGTTTACCTCTTAACTCAGGTCGCTCACTCTTGACATTCGCATTTCTTTCAGTTTTCCGTGGACCAGGTTGGCATGGATGGAGAAGATCCGCGTGCGCGGAAGGTTAGCAAGGCCCTCCTGTGGTCTTTCGTTGAAACTGTCCGGGCTGACTAAGTACTAGGCATACCTGTACCAAAAACAGACTTGTGGATGACAGGCCGAAACGAATGAAGCACAGAGTTGCGAGCAGCGAGCTCATGTTCGTTGAGGCCGCTTTAGCAAAACTTGGGAGACTTGCTCTGGGAAGTTGATCTGAGCTCCGTTTTTGTTGAAGGCACTTCTGGCGGTGCAGCAGCATCCCTTCGTTGGCAAGTCAGCCAGCAGCACCCAACATGCACCGACCATGGTTTGGGGTTTAGGGTCTAGGGTTTAGGGTTTAGGGTTTAGGGGGATTCATGGACTGCCATGGACGTAAGCAGAGAGTGGTAGCCCTGGCTCCGCTCAGGGCTGCAGTATCTGGCTTCCTGAGAGATGATGGCACGGCCGTTTGCAAGCGCAACATGCTCAGAGCAACTGGGATGTTCCCAAGTATACTGACAGTCCTTAGGAGGCATGCTCGTACCCCCTAGGATAATCCCTATTAAGGGCTGTTAGTATAAGGGGGGCACATCCCAATCCGGCTTCGATGAGATCTCCAGCGCGCGCACTTGCTCTCAGGGTACACAAATTTAGCTCCCCAGAGGTGCCGAATGGAAGCAAGACGAGTTAGCACTCTACAAGGCAAGCGCTGGGTTGTGGGATGTTGTGGGTAAGTCGGGTAGCTTTTTTTGTCAAAAGGCAGCAAAAATGA